CTTTTTTTTTTTTTTTTTTTTTTTTAATTTTTAAAAATAGTTATAAGTTCATTACTTAGTAGAAACTAGAAAACTTGTAATTAAAGTTTTAAAGAACAGCTGATGACTTGTTTTCTGTGAAGGAATAACGTTTGATTTAACTAGAGTCATAGTGATTACTCATGAGATGTTCACTATGTCATATATCCTCATCAAATACTTTAATTCGCACACCATGTATGTTTGCTTCCGGAGGACACAATAATGTGGCACTTTTGGTTGATATTCTTAATAAAAATATGTGGAGAAAATTGCAAGATTAATCTTTTGAGCTTCTACTTTTGTTTACAAGTGGTAAGTTTAAATGTTTTTAGTTATATATATATATAATTAAGTGATTAAAGAAACTATTTTAAGAATTTTAAAAAATAAAAAAAAAAATTGAAAAACGTAAAACAAATATATCCATTATTTATAAGGAATATAAGCATATTTTGTTCTAAATAATTTTTTGATTAGAAGGTTTTACCTATTTCATGAATATTGGTCGTAGGAGGAATTAAAATCACTGGAAAGCCTTCACCCTGCTTCTAGATGCTGCAAAGAGTAAGCCTCCTTTCTTTCCTAATTACTCCTGTGTATAGTGTAATTATATCCTAATACTATCACTATGGTTTTTGTTGAAATATAAAATACAAATTATATTGGTATTGGAGTAAAGTATTTTATATTCTAATTGGAAGTATTTTTGTTATCAGGCTTTATGCCTTTGTAGGCTCTGTTTCAGATCCCTTCACACCCAAGTATGAACCTCCAGCATTTCTTTTAATCTATAGATTATTAATTAATTTTTGTTGCAAATATCAAATAAAAATAATCATTTAATTTGATACAGACGAAAGCAGACGATCTCTAAATCCCATCACTTCAGGTAGTATAATATTTGGTTTCTTTAATCTCTTTCATTTTGATATATATATATGTTTCATCGTTCATAATTGAATAAAGTTATAACGAGGATGCATGTTTCTCTCAGTCTTGGATGGGCTTGCTGTTGCAGCTGTTGGGTGGTGCATAAGAAAATGGGAAAAGGTTGTTGTTGTTCTTGTTGTACATGTTCTTCATCAAACAACAAGTGTTGTGGTTGTGGAAGCACCTGCTTCAAGAGTGCATCTAGATGTGCCCAAAATTGTTGTTGCTAAACACTGATTTAATTATATTTCATGCAAATGTGATGATGATTGATGTGGACCTGTGTGAACAACTGCATGTTGTGGAACATGTTCATCAATAAGTAAATTAAGTACTCATGAGCTCAACTAAGAAATTAACGTAGTTTTAAGGGAATGATGGCAACATATATCCAACATCATTTTACTTCTCAATAAATGGTTTTGCGTTGCATTTCATGAAAAGTAGAACGAATGTTTTACCTTTGACAATCCAAACCGTGATGAAAAAATAGTATTAAACTTGTGCGCACGAGTATAAAAGGTTTCTCGATCAACTTGGTTTCTAATGATTAACACTCACATTATTTATTTAATGTTGCAATGTTGAATATTTTTAGAAAGGAAAATGCTAAATTTTACCATGGGTGTACGAAAATTTACAAATCATTTTGATTGACTAACTTTTTATTTAATTGTTACTTGATTTCTGATAAATGCAATTAATTATTTGCTACTCTATTAAAATAATTGCATGTGTATTTTTTTTTATAATTCATGACAATTATTTTTGTGCAAAATAGCAACTCTGCTTTACAAAATCACTGTAAAAGGAAATTAAAAATGTCAACATTTACCCTAGTTTGGGGGTTTATTTGAGTGGTAATAAGAGGAGAAAGGTAATAATGAAACAAGAAGAAAAAAAATAAAGATAGAAACAAAATGAGACAAAATTGGTATAAAAAGTAAATAAGTTTATGTTTATAACAAGTAATTACAACTCTCATAATATTTCATACAAGAGGCTTCTTTATCTTGGCGTTCTGATTGACATTTTTATAACATGTATTTTTATTTATCATTTCAAATATTCAAGATAAACTTAGTTCTTTATTTATTATACCTTTATTGTCACTTTTAAAGTATTAAATTATTATTTATAGGATTTTTAAATAATTTAATACTTAAAAGACTAAAAGTGCAAATAAACGTCGTTATATTTATGAGTTTTACTTTAAAAATATTTTAAAAGTGAAGAAGTAAAATAAATAAATTTGTACTTGATCATTTTAGTAACATAATGAAACAATACTTTCTTAAACATGCTTTCCTTAAAAAAATTAAATACTAATGAGTGATGAGCGTCCTTAAGCTATTAATTATGAGCATAAAAGAATAAATATTTGATAAAAAAAAAGTTTAATATGTGAATTCATTAATTTTTATATATGTGAATTTAAGGTTTTCACTGTCATTTAATTATAGAATATCATATGATAAAATTACTAACTTTTGTATTAGTTACATATAAAATTATCTCTAATTAAATTTCAGCGTAAAATTTTCACATGGATTCAAGTTACTGTAAACTTTTACCTTTTCTGTTGTTTTTATCATTTGGATCTTATTACCAATTCGGATCAATTAAAATATTTGGTGGATTTTTTTTTTTTTTTTTTTTAATTTCTCGATTTTGGAAGTATGTGAAATGGTTTCTTTCTATCTTATTTTGTTACTCTAAATACTTGATGTGAGAACAATGGCTGGCTATATTTTCTATTTACACTATATTATTACCAACGGAAAAAGTTACTTTGTGCTTCACTTATTAAAAAATAAAAAATAAAAAATTATATTTTTTTTAATAAGAGTGAGTGGTTTAAAATTTATAAAAAAAAATGTCTATTACTTTTATAATAGTTATAAAAAATTATATAAAAAAAATATAGTGCGGAGTAGTTATTTGAAAGGAGTGGATATAATTTATAATTAATCAAAGAGTAATTTAACGATAAAATTAAAAATAAAATGTGTACGTAAAAAAATCTATAATAGTTATAAATTAATTTAGGACTTTAGTTTAAGTAGTAAAATATTTGAGCACGCATTGCGCGTGTGCCTAAAAGGTGATATTTTTATATGCATTTTCTTACAGCATATTTCTATATTTCTTAACAACTTCGGATCGTGCATGATATTTTAAAAAATCATGTCACTTAAATCTGCAAGATCTGATGTCACATTTTAATATATTCACATAAAAAAATCGTGTTAAAGAAAGTGATTAAACATCCTTTATTCTAAAACGCCGGTCCACAGGCCCTTATTATATTACTTAAATATAAAATATTAAACACAAATCATTTTACATACATATAGTTAAAGAGTAATAAAATAAATTTAGTTCATTTTTTTTAGTAAAAATGATTCTATAAAATTAGTGTAGTACTTATAATTATAACTACATATCTAAGTTAAAAGTTAAATTATTTTTTTACACAGGAAAATAAAAGTCAAAGAAAAAAATAAACAAAACTAAGTAATGAAAAAAATTTCCTTATACTTTAGACGGATGCAGAGACACTCCATCTTTGGAAACTTAACCAAAATTCACACTTAGAAAGATTAGCATACAATTGTTTATCTTTCAGGATTTGAAGAACAGTTTGAAGGTGTTCTTCATGTTCCTCATGAGTTCGAGAATATATGAGGATATTATCTATAAAGACCACCACGAAATGGTCTAAATACAGAAAAAAAATCTTATTCATATAATCCATGAATACTGTAGGTGCATTGGTTACACCAAAAGGCATCACTTGATATTCATAATGACCATACCTTATCCTAAATGCAATTTTTTTGTATGTCTTCTGCCTTCACTTTAATTTGATGGTATCCTGATCTTAAATCTATCTTAGAAAACACAGTGGCTCCTCTCAGTTGATCCATCAAATTTATCCTAAGAAGAGGGTATTTATTCTTTATGGTAAACTTATTTAATTGTCGATAGTCTACACATAGTCTAAAGCTTCCATCTTTCTTTTTAACTAACAAAACAGGAGCTCCCCAAGATGATGCACTAGGACGTATGAATTATTTTTCAAGCAATTCTTCTAATTGTTTCTTCAACTCAGCCAATTCAGAAGGTGACATCCTATAAGGTGACATTGAAATTGGTCCAGTTCCAGGCATTAAATCAATTGAAAGTTTAATTTTTCTGTCAGGTGGCAAACTAGGAATATCATTAGGAAAAACTTCAGGAAAATTTTGAACAACATCAATGTATTTCAGATCAACTTCCTCTTTAGCTTCCATAGAAGATAAGATTAAATACCCTTGAACTTTACCCCATGAAAACTTGCTTATTGGTTTGGATAATGAAATCGATAGGTCCTTAGAATTAGAAAACATTACAGATTTTTCTGCACAATTGAGAAGAACATGATTAGAAGATAACCAGTCCATACCTAAAATCACATCTAATTGTGATAAAGGAAGGTAGATCAAATTTACAAGAAATTATCTATAACCAATAAAAATAGAACAATCTAAACAAAACTTTATTGACAATTACAGATTTGTTTCTAGGGTTTGAAACAATTAGATTAGACTCTAAAGAAGAAACTGACAATTGAAGGTGTTGAACACAATCATTGGAGATAAAAGAATGAGTTGCGCCTGAATCATACAGTACATTTAAAGTTTTTCCTTTAATGAAACATTTACCTTGTATTAGATCATTGTTTTGAGCAGCTTCAGTTTCAGTCATGGTATAAACTCTCCCACTGGTAGGAGGTCTTGGTTTGGGTCTAGAAGTATTTGTGTGTGCCTTTGGTTGTCCACACTCAGAAAACACATGACCAGACTTTCCACACTTGAAGCAAACAGGTCCTTTGAGATGACAGTCCTTAGCATAATAGCCCTGTCCACACTTAAGACACTTAACTTGATTATTCATGGGTATACTGGAATTTCCTGCAGATTGAGAAGATTGGAGTTTTCATTGAGGTTGATCATAAGGTTTTCCTTTATTATTCCTTTTCTTGTTAAATTGAGGACCAAAAGATTTTGGTCCGTTATCTTTATTGTGATCAAAACCTTCCAGAAAAAGACACTTGTGTATTAATGTAGAAAAATCAGAAATTTCTAATATCTCTACTGCCTTTCTTAATTCTGGTCTAAGTCCATCCTCAAATTTAATACACTTCATCCTCTCATCAGGGTGATAAAAGAAAGAAGAATACTTTCCCAATTCCTCAAACTTAGAAGCATAGTCTCCCACTATCATGTTCCCTTGTTTTAATTGCATAAATTCTATATTTTTAGCCCTCCTAACATCATTAGGAAAATATTTTTCAAAAAATTTAGTTCTAAACACTTCCCATGTAATAATTATTCCTCCTCCTTCTAATAACCTTCTAGTACTATCCCACCAATATTCCGCTTCTCTTCCTAACATAAACACTGCATAGTTTACTTTTTGGTTATCAGGACAGTTCATGGCTCGGAATATCTTTTCTATTTCTTTAATCCATAATTCATCTTTTTCAGGACTATACCCTCTGTCAAAACGGGAAGGTTTATTTCTCCAAAATTCAACCAACCTTGTAACTCCCCCATTCCTTCCGGTCGTTAATTTCTTAATAAGGCTGCAGTCATGTCTTTAATAGCTTTCACAACCTCTGTCAGTTCTGTGTTTCTTCTTCCTGCCATCTAAATTTTTTATAGATTAGTTTATCATACTAGAAACATGGTTAGCACATTTTCCCAAGTTACACATAGAACGTTGCTCTAATACCATTAAATTGTAACGTCTAATTCTATAAATATAAACCCCAATATTATACATTTTTATACATATAAATAAATATATATTTATATTTATAGATTAAGTACACAGGTAAATTATTAATAATATTAAGCTTGATAACAACTATAAACTTATATTCACATTAAAATATTTGTAATAACATACGTAACTATAAACTTCTTACATTTTACATTATTATTTCAATATTTACATTACATATTGTTCTAATAATATTTAGAGTACATGCCTTACATACCATTTTTTTTCTACTACTACTATGATAGTATTTACATTGGTGGTGGAAATAAGTTTACAATAGGATTGCATGATTTGTTGGTGGTAATTAAAAAGAAAGTCACTATAATGGGTCCATCTATAATAGTGGGATTTTCTTGATTGGGAAAAAAAAGAACGAAGACAGTCCTATGCCTTGAAACGTGACTGAGTTGGAGACAACCTCTACACTCCAATTACCCCCGGGAAAAATTGCAGTGATAACTACTGTAAAAGGACCTGGAATGGCCGTTAGATCCATCTACTTTGTGATATATTTAATTTTACATAGAGAAAAATTAAGGAGTGAGAATAATTATCAAATAAATACAAATAATTAAA